TTTGTTTGTTTGTATAATATTGTGCAGTTTTTGTTTACCCACAAGTACCGTCAGCAAACTTTAATTACTCCTTGTTGGTTGTTTCTTTTCCTTTTGTCATATCTTAAAACACTTGTACATCATACATCAAAACATTTCCTCATCCGCCGTTTATATCCAAAATCATAATATCCCTTAATTGTGTTGAGTAGTGTACATCTAAGACAAAAAAATATAAAAATAGCATAATCGTAGTTGCTCTTATTTAGAGTAACATGATGATAATATTATAATAATGTCATAATCTTAAAAAGTTCTCGAAACAATATGAACGAAAAGACGTTTTTCTTATTACTATAAAAAATCTCATCATAATTACGATTCGATGTTATAAATTTATATTAAGGTTGCGCACATTTGTTTTCGTACACTTGTAGCGTTGAATTTTATTTGCATAGATCTCGTATTAAATATTGAAACAGAGACTTCAAATTTTTTTAATGGATTATTTTTTTTAGTTTAGGCCTTCCTTGATGCAAAATAAACATCATCAAAATATTAATTGCAATAAAATATTTTTTTCGAAAAGTGTTAAACAGTAACTAACATAATAATTCAGACACTCCCAAAATTTTGTTCAAATGTTTTGAGAAACGATGTTTCTGGTCATAATCTTTTATTTAAATGAAAATGTATCAGAAAAATTACCGTCTGCATTTGGAAATCATAACTTGTTTAGCAAAATACTTCAACACTTCCATATCTGTAGAGAACATAACACAACGTTACAAATTAAGGAAACACCATTATTCATCATTTTAAACAATATAAGAAAGAGTAGACTAGAAGAGAAACACGCTAATGTGACAATCAAAATCGTAAAAAACAACCTTATATTTAGCGTAGGTATAATGAAACACTCAATCGATTTCGAGGGCAGCTAAAGGTCCCTCCTCATCAGGAGAAAGAAATACATAGAAAGAGGAAAATAGGAATCACAGAAACACGTGGTGCTTATCAGCACTGCACGTGGTTATAACTAGATTTTTAATCATTTTATTTGAAGTTCAGATTTTGAGCGTAATGTGCATTTGCCCCTCGCTCCCTATTTTAACTTCGCTAATATTTCTTTATGCTTGATCAGACAGCCTGGCTCAGTAAAAGTAGGCGGCCAGTGCAACTCTGATTAAAAATCTAGTTATAACCACGTGCAGTGCTGATAAGCACCACGTGTTTTCTGTGATTCCTATTTTCTTCTTTTTTTTTTCTATGTTTCTTTCTCCTGATGAGGAGGGACCTTTAGCTGCCCTCAAAATCGATTGAGTGTTTCATTATACCTACGCTAAATATAAGGTTGTTTTTTACGATTTTGATAAGAAAGAGTATTCGAAATTTCCAAAAAATACTTGATAAAAAGCGTTCAAAGAACTTGGGTGTTATAAAATTATGGAAATTCCGTAGAACTATTGAAAGTGCAAACTGAAGTCTAAACTACATTTAACACCAAGAAATCGGAGATTTATTCTGCGAAAAGTGAAACAAGATCGAAAACTTAATTTTATAAAATTTGCAGTGCATTTAGAAGTGGTTTGCAATAAAAGTTCATCCAGAAACTGTTGGAAGAGTCATTAAGAGACGTGGATACAAAGGCAGATCAGCAAGAAGGAATGTCTTCGTCAACAACAACAACAACAAAACAAAAAAAAAAAAAAAAAAAAAGTGGGAAATACGCATACATTCCGGAAAATCCACAGTAAGCAAAGATTTATCATGTTGAAACTATGTTATATTAGCAGACTAATCAAGATTTTATACATTCGGGTATGATGGACAGATAACTAATTGTGAGGAAGCCAAATGAAGAATTCAATCCAAAAAACTTATTGCTTGCTATTAAAAATGGTGTTAGAGGCATAATGGTTTGGGAACGTTTCGCCAACTCTGAGATGGAAAGCTTAGTTTTTATAGAAAGTATAAATATATAAATATTCTGAATGAAAAACTGAAAGCATCTGCAAGAAAACTTGCAATGAAAAGTGCATTTAAGGTCTATTAGGACAGCGATTCTAAACCTACAGTTCTAAATGTTCGTTTGTAGCCCAGCTATTCTAACTTTATCAAAATTCCTCCATATTGTCTGGACTAAAATCCTATCGAACATGTATGAAATGAGTTGGAGAAAAGAACAAGGAAACATGATATTTCTTCGAAATCTCTATTAAAATTCTTACGGTGGAATGGAACAAAATGGTACACAGAAAAATTAGTTAAATCCATAATAAAGCGCCTAAAAGGTATAATTTCAGCCAGAGGATACCCAACAAAATACTGAATGTCCCTTTATTTTCATGTTTTTGTTAAATACAGTCTGTTTATTCAAAGTGTCCGAACACTTAATTTGCCAAAAACATTTTGAATGTATATATATATATATATATTAATATATATATTTAGTAGTAATTGTTTCATAAGAATAAATTGAATTAATAAAAAATTAAATTTAAATACAAATTTAATTAAATATTCTTTGCGCCATTGCAAACAAGCAGGTTTTAAAAAACAGAAGTTTTTTATGAGAAAGAAAAATAAAGTCATTTCCCTAATGTTTAAGAACTGATATTTCCAAATAAAACTGAAAAACACAAGTGTCTGAAAACAAAAGCACACTATATTTGGCACTTATTTCAGCCTTTATATTTCACTCTATTTATTAACAGAATGAACTTTCTTAAGCACAATATAAAAGAGTAACATATGTCTTTATAACTATGGGTTTTCGAAATTTTAAAATTTTGTGTCACACAAATAAGAATAAAAAATACGGGTAGCATAATGCATCTATATTTTTTATATGTAGGGAGTCGTTTTACATTCATTTAAACCTTTTATTTAAAAACTGTACCGCGAAAAATAATATAATGTACCGTTAGTAGTACCATATACCATCGTTGCTTTATACGCTTGTGTATTTACAGAAGTTTTAATCATAGGAATTCTTTTAATTATATCTTTTACTCTCGATCGACTTTTTTTGGGGGGGTCGTTTTTTTTTATTATTAATTATTTTATTTTTTTTTTTAGTCTAAAGGGATTTGAATCCCGAAGGACTATTACTTTCGTTTTGGCATTTTGCGTCGGACGGATAAATGTCGGTTCACTTTTCAAACTGTTGCCATAAAATGTTAGAGTCCTGCATTATATTTGAAGAAAATAAATAATGAAAATCTGCGTAAATGTATGTATATTTCTCCCATTGTCATAAAATAACGGTACATAGAGTCATCGAATTTTGAATAACGTAATCCTCCAACGAATATGAGCATGTGCAAGGATAATTGGAAATTTGAAATTTGTTTTATGATCGATTTCCTATTTTTTAAAACTTTGACGAATTTTTGATTAACAAACTCAAGGATTTCAAAGCGAGCAATGGCAACGTTGTGCAGAAAAAAACATTTTTATCTCCAGCGCGTGAGTCTCTGTATTGGAAATTCTAAAGATATGCTCGTTTTAAAACTTTTTTGCGATATTCTTGTTGCACTGGATCTTATGGTTTAAGTGCGAGGAACATGATATTTAATAAAGAAAGGTAACACACAAAATGTTAAAAACGCCCCTTTGGACGTAATTTAAAATCTGAAACATTTCAGTTTTTTTTTTTTTTTTTTTTAAGTAAAAGAGTAGAAATATTCAGATTGTAACATATCATACATATTACAATTTTTAAAAAAATCGACTTTTTTTTTAACTTTCGAGGGGGTCAGAACTCAATCCTGGGAACACTGAGTAAGGTCAATTCAAATTAGGATTCGATGCGAAACGTAAATTAAGAACCACTGATATAATAACTGCAATTACTTAATCTTAGCTATAATATATATATATATATTAAGACACAATAACACGCCGAATAAATACTAATTCAGAAGTCAAACAACAAAAATCAGCGTTATATTTACAAAATTTTCACAAGACTAGTTTCGATGGTTTTACCGAACCCCCATTCTCAGCTGCAAAACCGCAAATCCGCTGAATTAGTATATATATATATATATATATTAGGCAGTATACTATATTAGGCATTATTTCTTTTACGTCAGCTTAGTAGTTTGCTATCGTACTTTAGAATTTTGTGTTATGTACTGATAATTAAAACTGAAATTGTTTATTTGTAACTCTAAATATATTTTATAATGGTGTTTTAAATTTTAGTGGTGTTTTTAACATTTACGCGAAATAACAAAAAAAAAAATTTGAAGGAAGATTACAGATTCATTATTCTTTTCTAAATTTTGAGATGTACGATTTATTAAATTCTAATAAAGTTGTAGTCAATTTCACTACTGAAGTCAGAATTTTCCGTAAAATTCTATATTAACAATTCAGAAAATTTATTATTTTCTTCATTTTTGATGAACATTGAATTAATGTACAATTTACAAAAGTTAGGATGAATAATCTAAAAAATAACAAGCATTGTAAAATAAACAGTTTAAAAATCATTAGTTTTCCCCCTTTTCCTCTCATAATTATTAATATTAATTAATTCCATCTGTCTTTTTTTAACTGAATTAATAAGTCAACTCGAAAATTAATAAAAATGAAAGATGCAATTTGATATAAGAAGTTGCCATCTCCGTGAAACGCGATTAAAATGAAAGTGATTACGAAATTCAGTATTCATTAAAAAGCTAAAGACTTATACTTCTAATATTCGCATACGCGATTTAACTTTTCTATTAAAATATATATAGAGATATATGTATGTATTTCTTACCGAACTTTGTTATCCCACATTCGAACAGCACACACAGCCACGAGCGCCACCGCCCAGTTTTCTTAGAATACAATTTAAAATTACATTTCAGGTAATACCATGAACTGACAGCACTTGCTTTCGTTATCCGAATAAAATTTGATCAATAATTGAAAAACTGTGATGAACATTAATGGAAGGACGCGCGTGAAAAGCAATTAGTATTTAAATAAACTTCGAGAAAAGAACGATCCGAAGCACTCACCTGAAACAAGTCCAACGTACCGAACAGGTAGGATGTGTTTATGCAGCGTAAAGTAAAGAATTCGACGCTATTCGCTGGTTTCGCCCCAACAGCATACATAGCCTACGGCTAGACGCTGACATGTCCGGCGCTAGATCCCGAACTTCTGTAAGTCATGTTAAAGAGCGGATTGTTTAATTTGGGGATGTTTTACGTGGTTTTTAGGAATGATGCAAAGCTAACGTTGTCTACCATTCGGAATGAGAATGTCAATGATCTCACAACACAGGCAGGTTGCCGCGCTTTTCTTTTTAGTCACGCGAGAAAAGTATTTTCGGCGACCGCAGCGACCTCTAGGAGCGCGAAAAATAAACTTCTCCCTAGCAGACGAATTTTACTTCCGTACGTTTAGCAAGATTTAAACTATTTCATACATTTAACAATATAAAAATTTGAGTAACAAAACAAAAAATAGTTTAAATAAATTAAATTTTCTCTCACTAAATATTTATCAAAGCATACATAAACAATAATAATAAAATCGTATAGCGAAAAAGTCAAATTCATATTTATTTTCCATATGAAAGCTGGCGCTTATAATCTCCACAGGTTGCGCGCCATAAAATCTACTGCCACCACCTATCTAAAATTTTAAATTTAGTACCGGTAACATAATTATATTGGTTATGCTTTGCGATTCAAATATATTGACAGCTAAATGTTATATTCTTATAATATTTATCTGACATTTCTTTCAGATAATTCTAATGTGTTTATTGAACCATTACATCGCTTACTTTAATTTAAATCAAAAGTAAACAAATTACAAAACTAATTAAATTCCTAAGTTTTTCGAAGTTTTCAGGAAATTTTCGATATGCTGCAAAATTTGAAAATAAAAGTAGGTACCTAAAAATACATATACTTGTATGTAAATAATTACAAATTTCTTTGTTTTCTACTACAGCTTGACGCCTGATGGCATTGCGATTCTGATAAAGTTTGTAGCCTTGGGTATTTTTCAAAGCAGGAGATATGAAAAATGAGCAATGCCCTCGCCGGGAATCGAACCACGGACCTCTCGAATACGCGCCGAGCGTGCAGACTACTACACCACGAAGGCATGCTAAGAAGGCTGGAGAAATACCTTATATACTCCCCCTTTTAAAGGGCGACTGGGGTTTTTAGGGCACCCAATCGCCAAATCCTGGTGGTGAAGAATCATCATGCACCACCTTTTAGTTCGCCACTATAGAGACATTAGGTATTTTTGAAAGCAGGAGATATATGAGTAATGCCCTCGCCGGGAATCGAACTATGGAGCTCTCGAATACGCACCGAGCGTGCAGACCCCTACACCACCAAAGCATGCTAAGAAGGCGGGAGAAATACCTTATAAAGTCTTCGAATAAAAATTATAGCATAGTGTAAATTAATTAGTTCCATTTATAGATGTTCTGGTACGTTTATTAATGGAAAAGAAAATCATAGTAACTAAATCTTGAAATCTCTGCAACGGTATACTGGAAACAGATGCATAATCGAATTGTCTTCGGGGGTCGTTTAAAATTACTTAGTGGGCCGCGAATTTGGCATCACTGATATATACTATCACAAAAAATCTGCCTTTTTAACTTTAGAGGTGCTATTAGTCTCATATTTTTTTATCTGTATCACTTTTCTGTTTATATCACTTTTTAGATGTTGTTACTCAACCATTATCACCATGTATCCTTTTTAAAGAAGTAATATGGCAACATAAATAAAAGCACCAAGCATGTTGCCGCCAATTGTTATCTACGAGACTGTTTTGGATCCTGTTTGATTTTTGGCATACTGTAAATCTCCCATTCCTTGGTGTTAGCTTGAATTGTGGTCTAGACTTTAATGCCTTTTCAACGGTTTCGAGGGATTTCCATAATTTCATAACGCCAGAGTTAAATGAACGCTTAGAATCAAAAATTCTTTTGGATATTTCGAATATTTTACTTTCTTTAAAATGGCGAATAATTAAGTTTCGAATAGAGCTTGTCATTAATTTGTAACGTCGTGTGATGCTCACTTTAGGTATGGAAATGTTGATGTGTTTTGCTAAACATATAATGATTTCCAAATGCAGACGGTAATTTCTGTGATGTATTTTCATTTAAATAAAATATCTGATCACATGACTTCCTTCTACGGCCGATTATATAATACACATGTTTGGCTGCTCTTCATTCGAACTAATTTCCACGAATTCCATTAGAGATATATTTCTCATTCAATTAATTAATTTTTCAATTTGCAGTAAGTTAGAAATACAAAACATCTACACTACAAATTGTAAAATACAGAAAAACATAAAACACCGAACAAGGCAATTCGGCCAGCGGGCAGGAATACAAAATTTTCGGTGTACAAAACTGAAAGTTAAATTTTGGTCAGACTGGGCAAAAAGACACTTAAGTTGGTGCACCAGCTGACTTAATTTACTGTTCTATTAAGACTTAACTTTTAAATATAAGGACACTTTTGAATTGTTGATAATTTTACAATTATTGCATGCAGATTAATTAAAGGAATAACAAGCTTAACCGGAACATAACAATATAATCACTTTTAAAGTGATACAAGTGTAAAGGCTATGCAAAATATGGCAATCCCTAACATATGCTGTTTTTAAATAATTTGTGATTTTGCTGTTGAATTTTACGTGACGTAAGTGTGAAGAAAGCAATGCTTAATAATAAAGCTTAAAAAAAGTGTGTCATCAGGAGCGAGTAGAAGAGAAGATTTGTAACCAGCGATGCTCAGGGGGAGTATAATAAACTTAACACATCTTCCAGGTGCTACATTGAATTCTTTCAGAATTTCTTGAATTCTTTCAGAATTTTTTTCATTTAATTTTCGTTTCAAAGATAATTTTCAACCATTTTTATTCTGAGAGGTACTGTAGTTATACTTCAAAAAAAACGAAGCGTCGGAGAGACACAGTCACAGGGAATCCCATGAATAATCCCCGATTGCCATAGAAACGGTTCAAATAAATATGCACCTTAGTATGAATCACTGGGATATAACAGCTATGATAGAAGAGATATGTAATTATTTTTTCGGAGCAGAGATGTACGAAAAATCAGCTATGCCTTCGGCCGAGATTTTAATTTCGAATTTTCCGATACCTCAGAAAAACGACAAGATTTACAGTCGTCACACATAGCCGAGCAAGTGACTTTTAAGTCCGAAATTTGAATTTTGAATATGGTTTTAATTTATTTTATAGTTAATTTTAAAAAAAAATAATTAAATTTTAACGGCCTTTAATTAATAATTCAGTAATTAAATTTTTAATGGTCTTAAATTAATAACTTTAATTTAATATTAATTAATTAAATTTTATTTGGCTTTTAATTTTGAATTATTCAAAGAATTTATAACCATTTAGATATAATCCAGAAAATCCAGCTCCTTTGAAAATTCTTAATCTGCTTCTTAAAATAAAACAAAAAATTTTGAAAATTTATTGTATATTACTTTACTAAGCTGTTTTGTTTTTCAGTTTTAGTGTATGTACTTCCTGTTAGATTGTTCCCTCTACTTTGATTTAATTATTATCTCTTGGTTATATATATATATATATATATATATTATAACTAAGGTTGTAAGAACAAACGAAAAAAGACCAATTTAGGTCAAAATTTTGCGCATTGTGCTGCAAAATTAAGGAAATTAGAAGAGAAATTTTAGAAAGCTCGCCAAAATGTTACCAAAAACTGTGGCTCCGAGAAAACTCCATCATAAGCATATTGAGTTACTATGAAAAGTGTGAAAGAGGAGAAAAAATATTTGAATATTTACAACTTGAGTTAACATATTTAGTATCTATGAAAAGTGTGAAAAGGAGAAAGAAATTTTTTTAAATTAATAAAAAACTGTTTGCTAAACTAATTAGGAATTTTAACATAGTAAAAATCAATTGAACATGGTAAAATAATTGGCTATATGCTCAATAAAAAGTTAATTATAAACACAGAAAAATACTAATCAATTGAACAAGTTAAAAACAAAAATATTAAAATTAAAATTAAAATTAAAAAGCGGAAAATGGTTAATTAGCGCAACTCGAAGCTCATTTTGGCTTTTCAAGGAAAATTTCTTTAAAATGAACCTCGAACTAAGCTAACCCCATTACGCGTTTCGCCGATATATATATATATATATATATGTAAGATTCTAGATTTTATGTTCTCCCCCTAAATTCCTCTGTTCTCCCAAATTCGAGATCTTTCCATGCTACATAACGCTCAATGAAGATACCTCTTGTACAATCAAATTGTAAACCAAAACTTTTTTTAACTCGAACTGAAACGTTTGACTACTCATCCAAGCTGCTGCTTACTTGCCTAAGATGACGTCGTACTTTAAAACCCGTGTACATGGAAATTATTGTATTCAACTATGATTGAAAAATATTTTATTTACAGAAACATGATCTGATTTGAATTATCCTACAGTAATATTATATATCGAAACAGCCTTATCTGGAAGTTTTTGGTTTATACATTCATCCTTCTAACTACGCAGTAAAGTGTCTTCGGATGACAGAAATTAAGGTACTGGAGACCTTCATCTACGTATTTCTCTGAATTTATATTTTTCAAATTTTGCTGTATTTTAAGAAAGAAATTACTATTGTTTGAAAATTTTGTGTATGAATTTCTTTAATGTTTTCAAGATAAACGTTGAAGGCTCTCATCTTATGAAAAAGTCTGTTGTGTACACCACAAGACTTCCTTGTACGTAATATTAAATTATACGCATTTTTACTGCATTTCATTTAAACTTATTTCCTTGAATTTCATTAGAGATATATTTCTCATTCAGTTAATTCAGTTTTCACTTTGCGACAAGGCAAAAATACATAAAACCTCATAATATTTTTATTAGAAATTGAAAAATATAGAAAAATAAAAACATAAATGCAGTTGAAACAATTTAAAGAACAACTTTTACAAATAAAATTTGAGTTTCTGCGCAAAAACAAGTAATTCGGCCAGCGGGCAAGAAGGCAAATTCTTCAGCGTACAAAACTAAAAGTTTACATTTGGTCTAACTCGGCAAAAAGACACTGAAGGCGTAGAAACTGACCTAATTTGTTGTAGACTCTATGCTGAGTCAAAATATGGGATAATGTAATAACTTAATTGAATGTTAATTCCAGAATGGATTAAGCATGATTTAATTCGCAATAATAAAAGAAGACGTCATCTTTGTTGCTGCGAAGTTTAGTTTCTCTAGATTGGCAACAAACCCACTGTTCTG